AAAATTATTTTGTTCTACAAATATTAAGATTTATTAAATTTTTTAACATTTATTCATTTTTGAGAAACAGAGAGAGTGTGAGTGAGGGAGGAGCAGAGAGAGAGGGAGACACAGAATCCAAAGCAGGATCTAGGCTTTGAGCTGTCAGCACAGAGCCCGATGTGGAGCTTAAACCCGTAAACCATGAGATCATGACCTGAGCTGAAGTCATAAGCTCACCGACTGAGCCACCCAGGTGCCCCCACACTATTTTTATTTCTATAGAAAGGTTTAGAATGTTCTTTTGGGGGTCATATGACAATCAGCTTAAACAACATGAAAATGAGCCTGAACTCTTTACCTAAATGCAAATTGTAGAGATTGGCAGATAAATCATTGAATGAGGGGAAATAAAATTTTAGGCTTATTTTCAGAACTGTTGTGTTGGGATCCGGGTTTAAGAGGGTCTCACACAAAGAACGTGAAGAATAAACACCAGATAGTTGTGAGGGGTATCATGTGCAAAGGCCCTGGGGTTCAAAGGTCCATGTTATCAGAAGCTCAGGATCAATGAGTGCTAAGAGCAATCCTCCCTTGCCCAGTACTGCAAACCAGGTGAGACACAAATGTACACTCAGCTTCTCCACCAACTCCAACCTGAGAAGTCACCCCAACTCTTCCTCACCCACCTCCCACACCCAATTAGCTGCAAAGCCTGGGACACTCCATCTTGTTATAGCAGAGTGCCCTGTTTTATCCCATGTACCTGTGCCCGCATTTTCATCCGCATGCCTGTGTCTTCTTTCACACTCGGGGCACTGCAGTGGGCTCCTTGCTGGGCTGTGTGTGGTGCGGCCCCTTGCAATTCACCTCCGAAGCAGAGCCTGAGAAACAGTTCTAAAATGCCAATCTGGGGTGCCTGGCTGGCTCAGTTTGTAGAGCATGTGACTCTTGATCTCAGGCTTATGAGTTCAAGCCCTACTTTGGGTATAGAGATTACTTAAAAAAATGTTTTTTTTAATCTTTAAAATACCAATCTGACTGTTCACTGTCTGCACTAAGTCTTTGGGTGACAATCTGTCATGTCATGTCCTAGCCTTTTCCACACAAACCCTTCCACCTTGAGCTAGCCTATTTTTAAAGCTTATTTATTTTATTTTTGAGAGAGAGAGAACCTGTGTACACCCGAGAGTTGAGAAGGGTCAGAGAGAGAGAGGGAGAGAGAGAGAATCCCAAGCAGGCTCTGCACTGTCAGCGCAGAGCCTGACGTGGGGTTTGAACTCACGGGCCATAAGAGAAGGCCCTGAGCTGAAATGACGAATTGGACACTTAACCAGCTGAGCCACCCAGGCACCCCTTGAGTTAGCCTACTTTTAGCCTCCCTCCATCTAGAATATTCTCCCCTCTTTATTCCAGCTAACTCCAGCAAGTCCTTCAAAACCTGAGTCTCAGGGCGCCTGGGTGGCTCAGTGGGTTAAGCATCTGACTTCAGCTCCTGTCATAATCTCAGTTTGTAGGTTTGAATCCCACATTGGGCTCCGTGCTGACAGCTCAGAGCCTGGAGCCTGCTTCAGATTCTGTGTCTCCCCCTCTCTCTGCCCCTCCTCTGCTCATGCTCTGTCTCTGTTTCTCAATAATAAATAAATGTAAAAAACAAACAAAATCTGAGTCTAGTTCTCTCCTCCCTCTACAAAGGCTTCCCATTTTGATTTCAAAGCCTTCCCGACTCCCAGATCGGCCCCTGCAAGTCCCCACCGTGGCATGGTCACATTGCATTGCCATTGTCAATTCATATCTCCAATCAACAGGCCCGCAGGCATGAGTAACCTGAAGGCAGGGGCCCTGCATACTCAGCCTTGACCCTCCAGGGCCTGAATCTTGCACATGGCACTTGGCATAGTTCTAAGGAGTTGATAAATATTAACTCATACAGCCCTCGCAATAAAAGATCGTTTAGTAGAGGAGCATCTAAGCATTTGGTCGACAAACGCATAGTGAGTGTCTAATAGGTACCCGATGCCATTTCAGGCGCTGGGCATCCAGGAGTGAACAAGACCCGCAAACTTCTGACCTCCACACGTGTATAATCTTGAGGCAAACGGATGAGAAGCAGATAAACAGGCATATCATATGTTGCGAGGCAGTGGGAGGAGCGATGAAGGAAAATAAAACCAGACAAAGGGATGGGATTTGACAAAATGTCATGTTAGGGAGTAAAGAGAGGAGAGTGAGCCAGGTGGATACGTAAGGGCGGTGCGCGTGGAAGGGGGCGTGTGGAGGAAACAGCAGGTGCAAAGGCCCTGAGTCAAGAGGGGGCTGTGTCTGTAGAGTGCATGATGAGGAGGCCAGCGTGCCGGAGCACGGCTGTGGGGTGGAGGCTGTAGGTGAAGGGACGTGCAAGGCAGGGGTCAGTTCACGAGGAGTTTTTCAGGCCTTCCTGAGGACGTTGGGGTTTAGTCACCGCTAGGTGTCAAGTCTGATGGGATGTGATGGCACCTACCTTTTAAAGGTTCCCTTTGGGTGCTGTGTGCAGACTACAGACTGTGGGGAAGCACTAAACGTGCAAGGAGGTGGACCAGCCGGGAGGTGAATGCTGTGGTCCAGGCAGTGACAGTGGTGACCCCGAGTCCCCACCGGGCAGAGAAGCTGTCAGACTCTGGGTGCATTTTGAAAGCGGAGGACCTGCTGACGCTCGACTAGAGAGCGTATGAGAGCGAGGAGCCCTGGATGCCACGCAGGTTTTTGGCCAACTGGTGGGCCGGTGGTGCCCTTTGTTAAGATGGGGGTGACGGGGGGAGGGACAGAGTGGGTGGGGGAGGGGGGTTGGAAGTGAAGCATTCTGTTTTAGACCCGTAGGTCTGAGGTGCTGCCAAGATTCTGGTTTTGTCTTCTATGAAACATGGATGATGTTTGTTTCATATATTTGATGAGAATCAAATGTGATCATTTTCTTTTGATATTACACAGAAGTACGGCTTATTTTTATTCACACGGATGTTATGGATAGAGCTCCCTTAAAAAGAACACAAACAGGGGCACCGGGGTGGCTCAGTTGGTTAACTGTCGACTTCAGCTCAGGTCATGATCTCACTCCTCCTGGGTTCGAGCTCAGAGCCTAGATGGAGCCTGCTTCGGATTCTGTGTCTCCCTCTCTCTCTCTAACCCTCCCCAGCTCATGCTCTGTCTCTCAAAAATAAATAATGCATTAAAAAAAATAAAGAAGAAAACACCAACGAAACTCCCTTACTGGCTCGATATTTTTGCCCTTGTGCAGCTGTCTCTCATATCAAGAAATGATGTTGGTAACAGACCCCTCTGCATATTTACTTACCATATTTATTTATCTAGAGCTTGCGATGGGCCAGACACTATCCTAAGGACTTGATAATCCTCCAAAATCCTTCGTATATGCCATTATTACCCAGACTTAACACACTTAACTGGGGCACCAAAAGATGAATTCGCATAAGGTCCCGTGGCTGGTAAATGGCAGAGCCCAGAGTCAACCCCAGGCGCTCTGGTTGTGTTCCCAACCCCCACCCCAAGCTCCACACCCCGCTGCCTCCTGACACCACTGCCTGCACCCCTTACCCCAGTAGGCGTTCCTGCCTCGGTTCTTACAAAACCACTGCTCCAAAGCAGCCTGTCAGTACGGACGGCAATAGTCCTTCTGTTTCAGACCTTCCCAGGCTGTTGGCAGCCACTCAGAGCACTCCGTGTCCTCTGTGCCTTTCTTCTAACGAACGCCCTGAGGTCAGCCGCCTCTCCTCCATTGCAACACAGGAGCCTCCCTGGTTTCCTGCTCTCTCCACGTGCCTGGTTACAAGCGTCACGTTTTCCGCTCGTGTTGAAGCCGACCATGTGCCACATCGAGCTGAGGACCCCTGGCCTCTCAAGAGGCTTTGAGCTAGAAGCCAGGTCCCTTTCCGCTTTGGCTCACGCATCCCAGCACCACGCGGACACAAAGCGGACATTCGGTGAACATTCGTTTATTTAGCCAATATTTACTGAGTGCTTACTACACACATGCCAGTGTGATCGGTGTCGAGGATGTGGGAAACTAGACAGGCGCGGGATTCCCACGGCTCCAGGGACGACGCAGAGCTAGGTTGGCCTGCCCCACCCCCCTCCGAAGGAGCAGGGGGTGGGGGTGGGGGAGAGATCGGGGAGCCCAGGCCACCGGAAGCTGCAAAAGAAGAGCAACTGGCAGAGCTCCTGGCCAGGGCGTCCTCTTGGCCTGGGTCTCGGAACCCCGACGTGGACACACGTGCCGCAGCCACGTCGGGGACCCCTCGCATGGCAGGGGCTCGCCTCGCGGGGACAGCAGAGCTTGTTAGGAAGACTGGGAGGAAGGCGGCTGGACCCTGCACGCGCGACGGGAAGGGTGGCACACGACTGGAGCGAGATCCCTTAGAAGCAGAGAGAACTCTCCAGCTCACCGGCCAAACTCTGGAGCCTAGCCTGGACTCCAGGAGCAGGCCTGCCGCCCACCTATTGTGTGACCTTGCGCGAGTCACTTACCTTTCCTTCCCAGGACTCAATTACATCATCAGCCAAATGGGTTTCCAATAACCTTAAGGTCAGCGCGGGGATTAAGACGGAATGCCTGGAAAGCCTCCCCAGGGTGTTCTCGGCACGTAGGAAACGCTCCCGCCGCGCGGCTCACACCTCGCTGGGTTACACCCCCACCCCCCCACCCCCTAGCCGGGGCGCCCGCCGCTCCCCTCCCAGGGACCGACGCCTAGCCCATCGGGGCGCGCCCGGCCGGGGTGGACTTATTGGCCCGCTTGGGGCGGGGTGTGGGAGGAGGCGAGGAGGGGAGGGGGGAGGTGAGGGCGAAGAAAGGGAAGCGGCGGAGGGGCCGGAGGCGCGCGGGGCGGGGCCGGGGAGGAGCCGGGCTGGGTTCCTGGGCCCCGCGCGGCGCGCTCCGGGAGCCCGCGGCGGCGGGGGCGGGGGCGGCGCGCGGCGGCCAATGGCGCGCGGCGCAGCGGCGGGGGCGGCGCAGCAACACCCGGCTGCTGACAGCCAAACTCCCCAACTCCGCCCTCGTCCCCGCGGGATCCCGGAGCCCGAGCCGCCGGCCTGGGGCCGAGGCCGCCCGAGCCGCGCCGCGAGCGAACATGGCAGCAGAATGAGAAGCCTGGCGCCGGGTCGTGGCCGCCGGCGCCGCGCTGCAGCTCCAGATCCGCGTCCGGCGCCCTCCGAGCAGCGCGCCTAGCCGGCCTCCTGGTGGCCGCTGGATTATTTCATTCGGAGCCGAGGGCGGGGGAGAGACCGGGACCCTGCAGCCGCGGCGGTCCGTGCTCTGGCAGGGGGTGCGACTCGCCGGCTGCGGAGACCACGCGGGAGAGAGCGGGTCCCGGGCTGCGGCGGCGCGGGCGCGGGGATGAGCCGGCCATGGGGCGGCCTCGGCGGGGTTCGCGGAGCCGGCGGGCGCTGCGGCGGGGGCGCTGCCTGAGCCGGGGCTCCGCGGGGCTTCGGGGCCTCGGGCGCCCCGGGGGCGTCCCTGCCGCCGCCTCCGGGAGGGACGAGAGCCCCGCGTGGCGGACACTGCAGCAGACGCCGTACTGAGGCGCCCCGAGCCTGCTCCGCCTTGCAGCTCGGTGCGCTCTCGGCACCCGGGCGCCTTGCCCGGTTGCACGGGCGGCTGGCGCACCGCGGCGAGCCGGGCGCAGGACTGGCCAGAGTGGTGTGCGTGAGCGTGTTGGACCGGAGATCTGGGCTGAAGCAGAACCCGGCGGACCGGAGCAGCCATGCTTCCCGGGGTGGGCGTGTTCGGCACCAGCCTCACGGCCCGGGTCATCATCCCGCTGCTGAAAGACGAGGGCTTCGCGGTGAAGGCGCTGTGGGGCCGCACGCAGGAGGAAGCGGAGGAGCTGGCCAAGGAGATGAGCGTCCCCTTCTACACCAGCCGCATTGACGAGGTGCTGCTGCATCAGGACGTGGACTTGGTGTGCATCAACCTGCCGCCGCCCCTCACCAGGCAGATCGCCGTCAAAACCCTGGGTGAGCGACCCCCTCCCCCCTGCCCCCTCCTCTCGAGCCTTCTCTTCCTTCCCCGCTGCTCTTCTGCGCTCGCGCCCTCTCCATCCTCCAGGCTTCCGAGGCATCTCCGCCGGCCCGGGGACCCGAGATGCCACAGGCCACTCGGACCTCCCTCCTTCCTTCTCCCCGGCCTTCCCAGCCTCTGCGCTTCTCTCCTCCCTTCTGGCACCACCTGGACGCCTTCCCACGTGTGTGGCGCGGAGGCTGGAGGAGGCGTGTGTTGCTCCTGTCCACCAGGCTGATCCGAGGCTGAGGACTGGGCATGGGCTGCCGTGAGGGAGAGGAAACGCAGTCCCCAGCGTGCCGGGAGCGCCCCGAGTGTGTGCGTGGGTGCGCGCCTGGGAGCGGCGAGTGCGCGCCCAGGAACACCCGAAAGAAGGGCCCCCACACGTGTGCCTGGTTTTCCTGGGGGCGGGAGACTACCTGATCCCGAGTAGCTGTGACGCCCTGCTCGGCCAGTTTGCTTCTTTCTGCTGTTGGTTTGGTGTGAGATTAGAATCTGACGATCAGTTGGAATTATTAAATCTTGGCTGTAAGCGAGGGCGGCGGGAGTGGTTGGATGGCGCGGGGGGGAGGCGGATTTATGGGGACGTCGTCCAGAAGGTCATGGGTTAGTAACCACCGGTTTGATAAAACCAGGGGGATTTAGCTCAGGAATTGCCTTGTGCGTGGGTTTGAAATAATAGATCTTGAATTTTTAGGGGATGGACATAGTAGTTTCAGAGGCATGGATGCTTTGCGTGGGGAAAAAGCCCCACGCAGCCCCTTTCACATGGGAGCATGTGACAGTCCTTCCTTAATAACCGTGGGGAAAGTTCCCGAGTCTGATGTTGACAAGCAGGTTGGGAATGAGCTCACCGCGCCTCGCCATCCGGTACCCCCCTCCTCCCCCCTAGAAGCCAGGCAGTCTGGACAATCTCAGAGCACACACCAGAAGCCGCTTAGCGTGCCCAGAGCAAAAAGAAGCGCATATTTTGTCCATCCGTCAGCAGTTCTAACTCATACATACCTAAGACAATATCCCAAGAATATCGCTCTCTAACTCTCCCAGAAAGTGTACCGCCCACCCTTGAAAGTTGGAATTTTTATTGTTGAGGAAAGAGACAAAGCTTATGGCCCAGGACGCCACATTAAAGAAGAGTTTCAAGGGAAGGGCAGGGACAGTACCGAGAAGTCAATGGTAATTTATGTAATCTGGGAAGGGCTGTTTTATTTTTTTAACAAGGGGCTTGGGTTTAGGGTAGGCGAAGTGTACGTATATTTTAATGAACTTCGGAATCCGCAGACAGAAAGCAGAACTCTTTCTTCCTAGAGAACCATTTTTGAAAAAAATTAGGCCATTCTGCTCTTGATTCAGCTGGGACGTCTGATAGAATTCCTCAGGAGGCTGCTCAAGGCTGTCCGTTTTCATGTTAATTTTTATTAAGTTTCTGACCTTTGTTGTTTATTTTCTTTGGCCTTGAATTGAATGTCGTTGGGTTGGGTTCTGGCTCTTCTTTTCTGCTTGATGGAATATAAAGGGTAGCTGACCTTTGGGCTTACAGCGCACCTGTGCATTGTCAAATAGGTCATAACCCTCCTGTGGCCTAACTCGGTTAGGCCAGTTGGGACCCGCCAGGTCTGTCCTGAGCTCTGTTTTTGCTGGAGAGCTTATGCCTGGTCACATCAGAGAGACCTTGTAACGTCGCTTCCCTCCACTGTGGTAGCACAGTCATGCAGGTCAGCACCCCCACGGCACGTCACCAGGAGAGTGGCAATTTGGGGGACAAGCATGGTCCTGTTTCTTGACCATCTCTTACTTCAGTCAAGAGAGCATTTGGGGGCTCAGAGTTGGAAAGAAGTGGCACAAATTATATGTTTCTGGATACTTCTCTTCTTATTGGGGGTTCAAAAATCCCCATGACTTTTTTTTTTCCCTTGACAAGACTAACCTGAGTTACCTCTTCAAAGCCAAGCAAAGAGGCTTACAAAAGAGACTTAGTTTAATAAGCATGACTAAGGAAGAGAGTTTTGTTTATATGTTTTGTAGTAAGTCTTGAACTTTTTTTTTTTTTTAACTCCTGGTAAATTTTGCAGGTCATATGAGGTAATTTATAATTACAGACAATGAAGGGGGGCATCGACTTTAGATGTGGCTGGACTTCGGTCTCATTCCCCACTTCATCTTTATCGGAAAATCCTTTCACGATGTACCTGCAAGTCTGTAGCGCGATGGTCATCTCGGTGTGCTTTGCTGTCACGGTTAGAGGTTCAGCACACACAACACAGGAAGTGAAACAGCCCAGACAGTTACAGAGCTGGTTTGGCTGTTGGGGGTTTATAGATGCTGGTGTTTGCCTGGAATTGAAACAAGCCAGTCTCGACTGGTCCTAGTGAATTGGCCTTCTTTTGGCAAAGGCTTGGGCTTTGAGTTGCTTGCCCAGCCGTGGCCAGTGGTCTAGGGCCCTCTGTTCATACTCATCCCTGGTCTCAGGCCTGTCAAGGTAAGGGCTAGTCTGGGGACCATTGAGGAATGACACTTGGAATCAATAAAATCATAGGGCCACCTGGGTGGCTCAGTCGGTTAAGTGTCTGACTCTTGATTTGGGCTCAGGTCGTGATCTCATGGTTCATGAGTTTGATCTCCGCATTGGGCGCTGCACTGACAGTGTGAGCCTGCTTGGGATTCTCTCTCTCTCTCTCTCTCTCTCTCTCTCTCTCTCAAAGAAATAAACTCAAAGAAATAGAATCACATACATCCTCCTTTAATTTCTAAAAATTCCCTTGAAAACCCTACTTTGGCAAACTAGGCATTTCTCTGTGGTAGAGACTTTTCTACTGTTCTTTTTTACAATCTCTCCAGTGCCCAAGGCTGCCTTTTATTGAAAACCTACCGTGTGCCAGGCCGTATGGGAGGTGCAGTGTGGAAAACGTTTCATTTCGTGATGGGAATAGTCCTCTGAGATAGATGTTATCCCCATTTTACAAGTAAGGCAACTAAAATCCAGTGACCTGAGTGGAATTGCTCAAGGGGATACCACCGGGGGCATGAACACCACCATTCTGCCTTCCTCTTCCATCCCCTAACCTTGCTGCTTTCCTCAGTTCCTTCTCTTGATCGTAGTAGCTCGTGTGAGATGTAGAATTATCCCTTTTTCCTGTTTGGCCCACCCATGGAATTAGTTCTCTCTTGTATCTGTTCCTTTTTTGCTATCATTGCTTCCTCCACAGAAGGAAAGAGGGCTGTACCTGGCTGCTGCTGCTGCTTTTTTTTTTTTTTTTAATTTTTTAATGTTTATTTTATTTTTGAGACCGAGAGAGACAGAGCTTGAGCGGGGGAGGGGCAGAGAGAGAGGGAGACCCAGAATCTCCAGGCTCCGAGCTGACAGCACAGAACCTGACGCGGGGCTCGAACCCACGGACCGTGAGATCATGACTTGAGCCGAAGTCAGCTGCCCAGCTGCCCAACCGACTGCCCAAGCTACCCAGGCAGCCCCTGGGCTTCTGAAGTAGGCACCAGCCTGCCCCTCCTCCCCACCCCCTCTCTCCATCTTCCACACCGCTGCCAGAATTTCCTTGAAGAACTGCGCACTTGATCATGTCACTGTGTCCCCCTTTCGTCACTCCTAGGAAGAGTCCCAACTGCTTGGCATGTCAGGCAAGGGCTGGCTTTGGATCAGCCTGTCCCGGCTCATACCCTGCTGGCCTTTCTGGAACCCCATGAGCTTCAGCGAAACCCAAAACTACCAGTGTGCTCTTGGACGGACCCTGTTTGATTGTATGTTCATGCCTCTGTCTGGAACACCTTCTGCCTTGGCTTGTGAGGGATGCCTGTCCATCCTGGGAGACTCCGCCCCTGTGTTACCCCCTCCTGGAAGTCTCCCCCTTTCTCCATCTCACCCCTCACGTACCCTATGGTGGTCCCAGCACCACGTGCCCCCATCTTTTTCCCCACCTATTCTAGTGCGTTTGTGTAAAGTTTAAATTTTATTTAGTTATTTTGGATAGGCTTTATATTCACGTGGTAAAAATTTTAAATATGTTTTTAAAGATTTTTAAGACCTTTTTTTACATAGCTGGTACCATTCCATGCCATACGTGCTGTTAATATACTTTTGTCATGCCACCATGTTAGTCTTGAAAAGACACACACACACACATACACACACCCAACTATACGTATATAAAAAAACCACATATGATAGTATCCTTGTTCCTATTTTTGGCTGCGTAGTATTTCACTGTAGGGATAAGTCAACATTTATTTTAGCCAGTTCCCTGCTACTCAGCATTTGAGTTATTCCCGATCCTTTGCTTATATAAACATATAACGAATAGCCTAGAAGCTATGGCATTTTGCGCGCCCACAAATGTGCTTATAGGATAGATACGCCAGGGGCTGGTCAAAAAGTATGTACTCATTTCCTTTAGCAAAGATGTTGCTAAATTAACCGATGTCTGAAATGACACTGCTCTTTGTGGGTTTCCTCGTACGCCTCTGTCTGCAAGGCCCTTGACTGCCTGGTGCCCAAAGGATGGTCTCACTTGCCTCGTGTATCTAATCAGCACAAGCTCTCAGCCAGCCTTTGGGGTCAGTCTGCACCTGTCTCCAACCTGTCCTGCTGCACCTAGAATGTGCAACGAGCCAAACGCTGGCTCCCTAGGTCTTCTCTTGTTCCTTATCCAGTCTAGACTCTCTACAAGAGGCGAGTGCCATATATCTGTATATACAGCGCATGTCATTCCCTGCTCAGAATCTCTCAGTGCCCGTCTCCCAAGGTACTTGGGCGACATTTGCTTTCTTGGCCTGACCTGGCCCTGCCTAGTAGTCGCTGTCACCTCCTTGGCCACCGTCCACTCTCCCCGGCTCGCTGCCCTCTAGCACCTTGTATCTTTTTCCTCAAACACACCAGCCCCCTGTCCTGAGACTGGGCCTTTGCAGACAGGCTTTTCCCTCTGCCTGGAAGGCTCTCCCTCCCTCT